CCTTTCCCTATAATGAGATTGATTGCTACCTTATATGCCATCACAGAGCCTTCATCCAGCAGTTAATGGAAGCATAAGCAGAGACCCACAGCTAAACACTGAGCCGAACTCCTGGAATCCAGTTGCAGAGAGGGAGGAGTGATAAGCAAACAGGGTAAGACTATGCTGGGCAAACACAGAGAGACAGCTGACCTGAACAGGGGGAGCTCATGGAACCCAGACTGACAGCTTGAAAAACAGTATAGGAAGGAACTATGTCCCTGGCACGTGGGTGACAGTTAGGAGGCCTGGGTAGTCTGTGGGACCTCTGGTGATGGAATAGCATTTATACCTAGTGTACGAGTGGACATTGGGAGCCCAATCTCCACAGAGGAATACTCATTCAGCCTAGTCACATAGGGGAGGGCCTAGGCTCTGCCCTAATGATGTGACAGACTTTGATGATCCCCGATAGAAGGCCTCACCCTTTCTATGGAGCAGAAGAGGGATGGAATGGGGGTTGGTGGGGGCCATGGGAAAATGGAAGGGAGATGGAAGTGGGATTGACATATAAAATAAGATTGTTTCTAATTTAAATAAAAAAAATAAAATATAAAGAAGGAAATAGCCCATCCTGACAACTAAAAGTCATGACGCTACATGAAAAATCACCTGATCCACACCAACTTCAGCTTAAGATATCACCTTTGAGGTGCAAGATGTATCATTCATAATAACACTTTAAATTAGTGTCAAGACCTAGAATGAAACTCAAGCAAAGGATGTAATTTCATAAGTACATGATGTGTGGCAGGGCTGCCATATGTGTCTAGCTCTGTTTGGCACCTGAGCATATCCTGCATCCGTTTTTTCATATGGTCTCTCTGCTGACTTTGTACTGTGATCACAGGTGGACATATATATCCATGTATCTTTACAAAGTAGGGATGAGAGCCCACCTTTATCCGGGTCACTCAAAATAGTTTGCTTCAGGAAAAAAAGAGGGGTTGGTTATATAAACACAAGGTACATAGATGACTCAAGAAGGGAGACAAGCTATTCAGAATAGCATCTGTTCATAGAAGTCTTCATTAAAATAAATTTCCCACCTTCCATTAGGTTCACAGATAGCCTTTCTTATTCTTAGAATAGTATTTATATTTATCTAAGCAAAAGTCATGTTGCAGCAGAATTTCAGTTTACTATTGCTGAATTACTAAACATGTATAGACTTCTTAATTGTCCTGATTGAGTCACTTGGCGGAAAAGGGTTACAACTGTGGCAGTGGTGGTCTTCTTGGCGCTCATGGTTGTTGGAATGGCAATCTAAAAATGTGTCTTTATGTCAAACACGTTTCCAACTTACGATCATCTTCATGCATTGCTATTATTATATCCTGATGAGGATATAGAACAATGCTCATTAATAATGTTTTTCCACATAATAAATGCAAGTTAAACTAGAGATTTAATTATAAAAGTCAAATTGCATTACTTCATCATGAGACTAACTGTAAGCTTAGGTGTGTCATAAACGGAAAACTTTTAGCAATCTTAGAATGTAGAATCACCGGCATTTTAGAGATAGTTGTCCAGACACAGATACAAAACAAACAAACAAACAAACAAATAATCTATTTGAACACAGGATAATTTCGAGTTAAAGTTCAATATCCTGTGTGGTGGTTCAAATCCTTCCCCATAGGCTCAGATGTCTGAATATTTGAGTTCAGTTGGTAGGATTGTTTGGTTAAGTTTAGGAGATGTGTCAGTTATCGAGAAATTATTACTAAGGGTGTAAAGACTCACAATTTCTTTTTTATAATTTACTTATTCTTTTCAATTTCATTTTACAATCCAACCACAGTTCCCCCTCTCCTTCCTACTCCATGTCTGCCTCACCTTCCCCCATAGCCCATCCACAGTCCACTCCTCCTCACAGGTAAGGGCTCCTGTGAGGAGTCAACTAAGTCTACCACAATAGATTAGAACAGTAATTGATGGAACCAGACACAGAGATCCACAACCAAGAACCAGGCCTAGCGCGGGAAACCCAGTTGAAGAAAGGGAGGAGGGAATATATAAGCAAGGCAGGTCAAAATTATGATGGAGAAATCTACAGAGACAGCTGAACCAAGCTCATAAAAACTCATGAACTCTAGACCTACAACTGTGGAGACTCCAGGGGACTGAACTAGGCCCTCCATATATGGTACACAGTTGTGAAGCTTAGACTAGCTGAGGGTCCCCGGCAGGAGGACCATGATACAAACCCAGTACATTAGCTAGCTTGTTGGAACCCATTCCCTATGATAGGCTGTCATTTTCAGTCTTACTGCACAGGAGAGGGACCCCGTCCTGTTCTAACCTATTGTTATATTACTCTTTTGCTGCAATTTCTACTTGTCTCTCTGGTTCAAGTAGTGAACGCTCAACTTCCTGCTCAAGTCATCATGCCTACATCCTGCCATTATGAAAACTATAAACTCACATAAACTCGTTATCTCAAATGTACTTGGTTATGGTGTTTTATCTCTGCAGCAGAACAGTAACAAATACATGTGTCAAGTGTATTCTGGGGAAGGCCTAATTTCTTTTAGTCATTTCCTGGTTGTTGCTCCAGATGTTTTAGGCCTATTTACTGCATCTACATTTTGGATTAAATAGATGCTTAAGTCGTTAATGGGGAATAAAGCAAAAGAAGGTTCATATGCACAGTAAAACCTATGCAAGAAATAGAGATTATTTCCCATTGTAGACACAAACAAAGCTTCAGTCTAAATGACTATAACTCCTGCCAGGTTCACACTAAGCACTTGGAGCTCTGACAATAATCACATCCCATCTAACAATCTAAGCAATAGTGGAGAGGTTACCATTAATGCCCTTCCATTATAATGAGATTGACGACTACCTTATATGCCATCCTAGAGCCTTCATCTAGTAGCTGATGGAAGCAGAAGCAGACACCCACAGCTAAACACTAGCCAAACTCCTGGAATCCAGTTACAGAGAGGGAGGAATGATGAGCAAAGTGGTCAAGACCAGGCTGGAAAAACCCACAGAATCAGCTGACCTGAACAAGGGGGAGCTTATGCACCAAGACTGATAGCTGGGAAACCAGCATAGGACTGACCCGACCCCCTGAATGTGGATATCAGGAAGGCCTATGGGGCCTTTAATAATGGATCAGTTTTTATCCCTAGTATACAAATGAACTTTAGGAGCCCATCCCACATAGAGGGATACTTTCTCAGCTTAGACACATGAGGGAGGGCCTAGGCCCTGCCCCAAATGATATGATAGACTTTGAAGACCTCTCCCCCATGGAAGGCTTTACTATCTCTGGGGAGCAAAAAGGGTACAGGGCTTGGCTTTGGTGGGTGTGATAGGGGAGGATGGGAGTGTGAAGGAACTGAGATTGATATGTAAAACAAGCTTGTTTCAAATGTAATTAAAAAAAAAAAGAACTTCCTTTAAATCTCTAATTTGTCTGTTTCCCAGCAATGGCTTATGAAGTTATTAAAGGGGCTCCTATCCAACATGTGTTGTATGTCAATGACATCTCCATCTTTCCTACAGCAGAAGGCCTACCCCAGCTTTCATATAAATATAAATAAAAATGAGACCCATGCTAAATAGAGATGATAACTAGGTGAGGTCACCACTTGGTGTTAAGTAGTAGTTAGTGATAATCATTTTCTCACCCTTGAAGAACACTTCATGGCTTTCCAGAAAAGGGCAGAATGTGTGATATGTACCTTGTACAACATATATATCCTAGCCCTCTCTCAGTTCTTATTAACTGTCTCTATGCAGTGGTAAAAGGATAAGTCAGCAACAAGGCTGACTCACCAAGAGTAAGTCAGACACTTGCTTCAGGAAAAACCTATGTAGATATCAGTGTGTCTTATTCAGTAAAAAGGCTGGGCACAAACTATGAACTACATTCGGTTCAGATGTCCTGCAGCGTGACTGAGGCATCCATTGTTAAGAGTCAGTGGTCATCAATTTTGTTGTCTTCAGGCATCAGCAAAGATGGAGTGAAATATATATTGTTTTTGTTTATTTACTATTTAAAGAATGTATAGCATCTGTCCTAAGGGAACATAAGTATATAATATATAATGTTAACCTGCATACTTCTAGAATATGTGCAGGGAATACAGGCAATAAATAAATAATATCATTTTACAGAACTTATAAATGTACTAGGAGCTCAAGACCAATTCCACAAAGTAGGCATGTAGAAAACAAGAGAGAGAGACAGAGAGACACACAGAGACAGAGTCATGGAGAAACAGAGAGAGAGAGAGAGACAGAGAAAGAGAGACAAGAGCATCCTAAAAGTTAACAAGAACTTGCCAATAGCAGGATTATGAATGGCATGCATAAGGACTCACTTCCCACTTTATAATTCCCAACAAGTTAAATATTATTCCCTAGAAAGACACAGTATTGCTGCATAACTTCCCTATTACTGACCCTTCTACTGAAAAAAGAGAGAAAAGCAATAATAACTCCAATTACATCTAAAGAAATATTTCAAAGATTTCTATACCTTAAGAAGCTGTAAAGTCATTGATAATTATACACATTACAACATGATTTAATCTCAAATTCACTAGTTTAGTAGAGGCATTACACAAACTTTTGTTTGTGTAACATCCCAGAAAATGAAGTGAAACAAAAGTCAAGCCTAAATACTAATACATCAAAACCAATAATATAAAGTTGCATGTTCCAGCTCTCAAGACAAAGACCCGCATCCAACCCTTGCCCTTATGTGCAGACTTAGAGCAATGTCCTGCCCCAAATCACAGGCCTCATCTGTTAGAGTTACACATCCTTGTGCTCTCCTTGTTCAGTCTTTTGCCCCATTGTTGTCTTAAGATTCGAGCTAAAACACAAGCTATACCCTTTTGTTTTTTGTTTCCATTATTCTACAAGACATCCAACATCCTAATTTCTGAGACAAGTAAAACACAGGAAACAAGGAAGTGGTATCAACATATCCTTACCTGGAGACCTTCAATGGCAAGTCGCAGCATGCTTGGTGTAAGCTTAGAGGCTTGCTTGAAGGTAAAGTTACTCCAGTCTATTATCAAAACAAATCCATTTACTTGCAACTCGGGATCTTCGATCATGGCTTCTAAAGAAAGTAAGATGGCTCGCAAAATATCCACCAGTGTGTACCTATCAACAACAGAAAAGTACTGAGTTAAATCTAACAGTCACTTTTCAAAGCCACTTGGGTAAAAAAATATTCAGATTTTATATTTGGGTGGAGTTTGGGGAACATGTTATTTGTTTGATTGACTGATTTTTTTTTTTAGAGAGCTAAAGATTCTCTTTAAAAGACCACTGAATTTTCCTGGTTATGATTTTTGTATTTGGTTTTAAGAAGAGAGTGATTTGTAATGGGCCATGAGGACCAAGTACGAATTGGCAGTCAGGGACTCAACAGCTAAGCAGGTTATGAGCATGTACTTTGCTTGCACAACAGTCAAGTTCAGTTCCCAACACTCATGCCCTGTCTTCATTTCTAGAGCAATCCAATGCCTTTTGTCTTTGTGGGTACCCACACTGATGTGCACATACTGCCTCTATTAAAATCACATAATTTAAAATAATAAAAATAAATTTTAAGAGAGGAAACATATGTTATACCCAAGAAAAATCACAATGCTTTTGAAAATACTACAGCTTCTTTAAAATTTTGTAGCATTTTTATTTTTCTCTAGACCATCCATGCATCTGGGCAGTCAACCTACTAAAGGTCAAATACATTTTGTAAATGTGTAAACCATGAACATATATGGGAATCTTTTATTAGCCAAAAAAAAATGCAACTATTTGTACTTCATCAGACATTGTAAGTCATCAAGAGAAACTTAAATAAATACACTAAGCTACAGATAAGAGTTTAGAAATTATACACATGTACATTGCCGTTTTTGAAAGAGACTGAAGCATCTTCAAATTTTGGTGTCTATGTAGAATGCTGAAGCCAATGCCCAAAGACACTGGGAGACAACTACACTTAAAATTTTGAGAATGAGATTCAGAATCTCATTCAACAAACAGGAATACTGTATGTAAGAGCAACACATAACAATCACAAATCTTTAATTACTTCTACTGTATTTCTCTCATAAATATAAAAAAATAGAAGGTAGAAATGAAATTGGAAAACAATAAATAAAAACAAAAGAGGAATGGCTAAGCAAACCCATACATCTACTTTAAACTAAGCTATCCAAATTTAAGGAGTAGGATCTTTAGTTTTACTGCCTTATACTTAGCACAATACCTTCACATAATCTGAAAACCCAATAGGTGCACCTATTCCTATAAAACAGCATCAGAGACAAGAGCAAGGTTAAGACGCCGCCTTAGTGGGGAAAACAAAAGGAGGCCTCATATTTGAGAAGTATTTTTGAGGTATCGTTATGAAAAGTTGGAGCTTACCTGGATGTGGATAAAAGGACTGAGAAAAATAAAAAATGACATGAAGAGTGTAGCTTCAGTCACTGCGAAAGTACTAAAAATCAATAGTGTAGAAAAGTAAAGCACAGAAGTGGTTTGAAAAGTAATATTTGAAGAAAACCTTATGTACTTGAGAAATGTCGTGTACCCAGAAATTTACATTGGAGAAACACTTGACAAGGTATACCCTAAACTCAGGAACGAGCTCAAAATTCAAAATACTGAAATTAGAAGCAAACAAGCCCTACTACCAAAGGAGCTAGGACATAAGACACCACTGAAAATTATTCTCAGAAAAGAATTACTAGGAACACCACACTCTGAAAGAGTCAGAAAGTTTATGAAGAACGTCAACAATTTAATTTTTAAGCAATAGTTTTTTACTTTGGTGCTTTCATCTGAAAAAATCCACATGGTGATTTCATGGAAAGCCTGTAAAGAACCCTGGAGCTTGAGGGATGAAGAGTGGGTAAATTAGAAGTAGAAACCGTCACCATTCAGTGTAAGAGATGGAGTTGCCAGTTGACCATGCACTATTAAAAGGAAGTTATTCTCTTTTTAGTTGTAAAAATATTTGGGAGCAAATAGAGAAAGCATTGTAGTTCAGAAGGAAAAAGTAATTAACACTGGGTCTTCAAGTAATCTCTTCCCCTCTTGAGATCCCATCCCCTAGTTATGAGGCCAAGGCTTTGAACCAGACTCAGCTTTACCATTCTAATATGGACAGAGCAGTGCTGTGATCTCCAAAAACACCCATCATAGACTGATCTGTGTAGCCCTCAGTGTATCACAGTTTTGTAATGCTGAGGTGCACTGCCTGTATCTGAGAAGCATAGTAATAACTATGAATTTCCCTAAAGATGGAGCCTGCAAAAACAAAATGATGATTCTGGTTTTATTCCAGATATAGGCAAATGAATAAGTGTAATAAATCATAGAAATGGACTTAAAAACAGAAATCACATGATCATCTTAACAAATTCAGAAAATACCTTTGACAAAATCATTTCACAGTAAAAGGCCTAGAGAGAACAGGTTTAGAGAAAGCATACCACAACAAAATAAGGGTGATATAAGACAAATCCATACTGACAACATGCTAAATGGAGAAGACATTAAAGCAGTCCCATTTAAATAAGCAGCAAGATGGGGCTTTATTCACACTGCTGCCCTCCTATTCAATAGAGTATGAAAAGTCTTAGTTCAAGTAATTAGATAAAAATGAAATTAAAAAAGAAGGATACAAATAGGAAACTAAGTCAAACTTTCCCTGTCTGCCAATAATTTTGATTCTATCCTTAAAATATGTAATGAATCCACCAGAAAACTTCTAGATTTCATTAAATTTTCAGCAGCATAGCAGATACAAAATTAAGACAAAAATCAATAGCTTTTCTACACCCCAAGCCAAGCATACAAGCATATTGAATGAGAAATTGGGGAACTGCTTTCATTCATAATAGAAAAATAACAACAACACACTACTTCTGTCTTTCAAAATGGCATCTAAGGAATAGTAATAAATAAATAAAATAATATGAAGCTAAAACAAATAAATCAGAATAGGACAAAACAAACACGAGAAAAAGAGAAAAAAAAAAAAAAAGGATAAGAGGCATATGTAGTGACATTTTGTTTGTGATCTAAGAAAGCTTGCCTGAAGCCTGAAGATCAGAATGCAAAGGCAGCCATAGTCATGGAGAAAGGGCAGTGGTGGCACACACTTTAATCCCAGCAGCCACACTAGTTATCCTTAGAAGCTGGGAGGTGGTGGTGATGCCTTTAATCCCAGCACTAGAGAGAAATATAAGACAGGAGCTCAGGGTCTCAGTCAGTATTCAGTCTGCAGTCACCCAGAAGACAGAATTGCCCCAGCCTTGGTAGAGGTAAAATTCTAGTGATTGGCTGCTTTGCTTTTCTGATCTTCAGCTTGAACCCCAATATCTGTAATTTTTATTATTTGTACTACAAACATATAGATGCAAACACAGACACACAAACACACCCCACACACACAACACACACACACACATTTGAGCGCACAGAAATCCCAGAAAAACACAAAACCTGTACGGTATAATGCCCTAACTCATTATGAGATAAAGTTTTCTAGCGATGCTGGTGAGTTTGTTTTGTGTTGGCCATCTACTGTCTGGCATGAGGTTTGCCCTTAAGAGTAGTTGATTTTCCCAGTAAGACTCCCTTGAAGGATTTTTTTTTCTTTTTCTTTTTTTTTTTTTTTTTTTTTTTTTGCAAATGGTTGTCAATTGATATAGTTTTTTGGATTAAAGATAGAAGCGTGTATTCACTTCTCCTTTCTGTTCTTGGACCCCATCTGGTGTAGATTCCTGCAGGCTCTGTGCATGCTGCCTCGCTTTCTGTGAGTCTAAATGTACATCATTCAAGCTGTGTTTAGAAGGCCTTGTTTCCTGGGTGTCCTCCATCCTTCTGGCACTGAATGGGAGGAGTGATGGGGAGCAACTGGGAGAAGCAGGGAAAGGGGAAACCATAATCAGAATACATTGCATTAAAAAGAAATCTATTTTCAATAAAAGGGGAAAAGCCTCCAAGTAAAACTAAGCCAGAAAAATTTTACATATTTGAAAGAGAGAAATTAGGATAGACACTACAGATGCACAGACATCCTAAGCTGACAGCATAGTGACTTTATAAAGATGATTAGCTTACAAAAGCAATTTACTTATTCAATGCAACCAAATGTCCATGCCATTCTTCACAAAGCCAGAAAAAAATCTTAAAATTTATATGTAAACACATAAGTCCTGTACATCCAGTGTAACCATGAGGAAAAAGAATGATGCTGGAAGCATTATCATTCCTAATCTTGAGAGTCATATATGAAATAATAATCAAAGCAGTATGATGACTGCACAAAACTAGACACACATATTAATGAAATGGAATGAAAAATTCATATTTAAGTTCACAAAACTACATCCATTGATCATTTTTTTTACAAAGAAGCCAAAATACACACTAAAGAAAATACAGCATCTTCAACAAATAATGTTGGAAAAACTGGATGATGTCTACATGTGTAAGACCTAAACTAGACCTTTATCTCTCACCTTTCACAAAACGCAACTGCAAGTAGGCTCTATACAGCAAAGAAAGTAGTCAATTGAAGGAAAAAAACTGAAAGAATGAAAGAAAATTTTTCTCATGTACCCTTAAAGAGAGAATTAATATTATTGAAAAATCTCCATAAAAATGAAACACCAAACATTAAGAAAACAAACAAACAATGCAAATCAGGTTGTGCATCTGAAAAAAAGAGGTCTCAAAGAAATGTGATATAGATAGCTAATCACCAATTTGAAAATGTTCAGTCCTTAGTAAGGGAGTGCAAATTAAAATTACTTTGAGTTTCAATCTCTCCCATTACAGAATGATTACTATCAAGAAATCAAGTGACAACTATGACTGAAGAAAGTGTGGAGAGAGAACATTTTGTTCACTGTTGGTGTGAGCTTACATGCACTATGGAAATCAACATGGAGATTCCTGAGGGGGAAAAAACTAGAAATGGAACTCTATTTGGCACAGCCATTCTACTCCTAAGCATACACCCAAAGGACTCTACTGCAGAGACAGTTGCTCATCCACATCCATTTTTTCCATTGTTCATAATTGCTAGGAAGTGGAGGCAACTTAGATGCCCGTCAGATAAGGAATAGGCAAAGAAA